TTATAATTTATAAAAATATAAATCTATATATTTTTTATTATATACATATCCTTGCAAGAACTTATAAGGCAGAATTTCCAAAAAAAAGAAAGAAAAGAAAGAAAAGAAAAGGAAAAACTACCTCTATTCCCACCCCATGAAAAGAATATTCTTCAAATTTTCATCCCCATCACAAAAATTCCCGTAGAACTTCACGGATTTGAGAGCAAATGGCCATCTCTATAATAACTTCACATGGATAATCACAAGGAGCACAAACTTCACGTGGATAATCACGGATAATCACAAAGATCGCCCTAAAGTACTTTGCAGCCCAAAAGCCATTGAAATTCCATTTAAAACGGGCCAGGTCCATCCACTAACCACTTCTTTCAAAGCTGGTTGGGCTTGAGCGGCTTTTACTCATTTATTAATCCTTGAAGCACCATACAACGCCTTTTAACACAATTTCTCCGGCGGAAGGTGCAATTCAGCCCTTGTACCTGCAATGTTGTGGCAGATCAGCCCCTATACTAGAAACACTGGCAAATCACCCCTTCTGGTAAGGATGATGCTAGAAACCATCATCTTTCCGTTTGATTTTTGTGGCCCGTTAACAAAAGATGATGATTGGATAATGACATGGCATTGGCTTAAAAAAATCTTTATGTTTAAATATGTAAGAGTGAAAAAAAAATCACAAAAATATTTTTTTTCCCAAGTCAGGTGGTTTTTTTTAAGTCAATGCCATGTCATTGGCCAATCATCATCTTTCGTTAATGGGCCACAAAAATTGATAGAACCCTAAAATCTATTCTTAAAAAAAATCGGTAGGGACAAATCCACCTCACAAAAATTAAGGGATAAATTGCCTCTTTAAATCATAAAGCAAGACAAGTAACCCCTTTTTTAACATTTTCCTTAAAAAATGTTGGCATAATAAATAGAATTCTGATGTTTTTCATTAAAAAATGGGTGATTTGTCTTAATTTATGATTTAGAGAGACAATTTATCCCTTCATTTTTGCGAAGGGTAGATTTGTTCTTGCTGATATTTTTTAAAAGTGGATTTGAGGGTTTTGCCCACAAAAATCAAACGAAAAGATGACATTTTCTAATGTCATCCTTAACATAAGGGGTGATTTGCAGATTTCATGTAGTAAAGGGGCTGATTTGCTAGTGTTTCTAGTATAGGGGCTGATCTATCACAACATTGCAGGTACAGGGGCTGAGTTGCACCTTCTGCCCAATCTTGCATGATTTCAACAAAGCAATGCTAGCCCACAATTGACTTATAGGCCGGTGGAGAAAACTTCCACATGGAAAGTCCATGGGTTCACATATGGGGTTGGACTTTCGACCAACAGTGACTTGACCCTAGGTTCGTCCGGATTAGGGCACCCGAGGACAAAAATGGGACTTCCGAATTCTCCAGGTAAAGCACACGGTTAATCAGTTACTATTAGGAAGAGGACCACAAATTATGAATTTCTTAAAGAAAGACATAGCAGATGAAAATGAATTAGCTTTAGAGATTTTTTTTCATCGTGCATTGAACATAAAAAACCTCATTAACATCAAAAGAAACAAATATTACACAAACACAGACAAAAAAATTCAAAAGGATTCAACAGATTCTTTAATCACACCAATGTGCAATCATATGGAAGTCTCAATACTGGAGTAGACTGAGAGCAGCATTTTCAACGAGGAACATGAAAAGGTGGACTCAAATAAACTACTATAACTAAAACAAAATAGAACCAACTACCTAGCTACCAACAAAGCTCATGCACACATTGTTTTTGCCACATCTTCAAAGAGGAGGAAAAGAAGACCTGCTGCTGCCTGCAGCTTAGTAAGAGCACTACTGTGGAAGAGTAAACAAAAGAAGAAAAATGTAATTACTATTATATAAATTATTATGGTTAGAAAGAGCATAAATACTATAGAGGCCACAGAAATAGAAGGTTACCTAGGAGTGTTGGTTGGGTTGTTGCCATTTTCCTTTTTTATTCCTGCAGCTGTGGTTGCACCTTCCAACAATTTTCTGTTGATATATCTCCATCTTCTTCACTAGCCACCATGGTTTCCCTGTTGTGAATACAATGTATCCTAGACTCAGTCCCAACACCAGTCCACAACCGTAACCCGCCAGTGCAAACTTCCAATCAAATAGTGATGCAGATTCATCTTCTTCATCAATTTTTGAAGGTGGGGATTCGGGTTCAACATCGTTGCATTTCTTCGTCAATGGAAATCCACATAACCCTGAATTCCCAATGTAGGAGTCATTTGAGAAAGTGTCAAACTGCTTCCCTTGAGGTATGTGACCTACAAGTTTGTTGTGGGAAGCATTCCAAACTGAAAGGAATGTCAGGCTTGTCAGCTGCTCAGGAATCCTGCCTTCTAGCTTGTTTGATGAGAGATCCAATGATTCAAGTTCTGCTAGTTTCCCCAAAGATGATGGAATTTGGCCTGTGAGACTATTGTGAGAGAAGTTAAGCACTACAAGTGATTTAAGCTCTCCCAACTCTTTTGGAATCTGCCCATG